GCCGGTGGCCTCAGGCGGGAGGCCTGACCAGGGCTCAGGCTAGAGATGCTAGGTTTGGGGACAACACTCAGAATGGTGCTTCACTTCCCTGGGTCTGGGGGGAGAGCGGGGGAGGGCTTGCTGGGCCAGAGACATCTCGATCCTATGGGCTGGCCCCACCTGGAGCCAGGCAGCCCTGGGCTTGTCCCCAAGACCCCAGCCACTGGGGCGGGGCCAGGGGCAACTTGCCTTGGGTCCTGGGAATCCGATGGGTCCTTCAATGCCTGGGTCCCCCTGTGGGAAAAGAATAGAGGGTCGTGGGTGTAACCTCAGCCTGGAGAGCAGGAGCTGCTGCAGCGGGTGGGGGGGCACTTACCTGCCGGCCCTTCTGTCCAGGCTCTCCAGGCTCCCCCATGTTGCCCTTGGCGCCCTGCAAGCAGACAACACAAAAGGGGTAAACCAAGGCAGGGAGGGGCAGGGTGGGGCACTAGGGACCCTGTCACTGGCTCAGGGTTAGAGTGACTTGGCTGCTGGTCCCACCCAGGTGACAACGGCAATGCCGCGGGGACGTCGTAGAGTAGGGCCAGCTGCCCCTGAGAACCCTGGCCTGTCAGACCAGGGCCTGTTTTGATCCTGTTTCTCTGAGCCTGACGGACAGCCCCGGGGTGGGGCACCCGCCAGGCCTCTGCAGCGGTGACACCGGCCCAGGCGGCACCCACCCTCGAGGGCACATTGCTCAAGACACCAACTTGATTACTTTATAAGAGTATTTTAATGGCAAATCTTCACTTAAAAAGTATCCCTACTCTTCTCAAAATGCCATTTAAAAGGAAGTAGATAAAAATGGAATTTTAGTTCCTTCCGGGTCAGAAGTGTTGAGCCTATGGAGGTTTAGTTGGCCCTGAATTCATAGTTCAAGAGGGGGCGGGGGCTTCCTGGCAGGGCAGACCCCAGGGTGGTCTGGGTAGCTTACCTTTTGTCCGCGGTAGCCCTTGGGGCCAGGGGGCCCGGGGATCTCCAGACAGCTCACCTTGTAGCACTGAAACAAGAAGGAAGTGAGGCCAGAATGATGGGTCCCAGTTGAGAGGGAGGGAGAGATGGAGGGAGGATACTGCCCAGGTCCCCGGCCTGCTGGGGGTGGGCCGTCCGAGCACGGGGCTGGATGAAGGACCAGGCTCAGGAGGTGCCCGTCAGGGTGGGGCTCTACATAGGCTCTAGTCAAGTTTTGGAAACCGAGGCTGGGTTGAGCAATGACTGACAGTAGCAAGGACTCAATAGCGGTTGGCTAGGCTAATAGTCCTTGTGCCTGTGTGTGACCCCACTGTGCTGTGAGCAGCTTTCTAGGGGAGGGTGTGCTTGTAGGAGCCCAGCTGAGTGGGAAGCACTCCTTCCTGGGCTGTGAGCTGGGATGCACAGGAGCGGGGCCATGTCAGGGACCCAGGGCTGCAGATCCTGCGCTGGGCACCCAACCGCCGCCCATCTTCTCTTGGACTGGCTCAGGTGCACAGAGCCCGTCAGTCCAGAGAGCCACCCTCAAACTCAACGCTCAACTTGGCGTGTGCTAAGTGGGTGATCCTAATGCTGATCTCCTGGGTTTAAACAGCCTGGTTCAGGTCAGAAGCCCCTGGCCCCAAACTCAAGAGTCTCAGGCCCTACGTGGAGCAGAGGGGTCTCTCTCCCTGCCTCCGGGGAGTGCCAGGGAGCTGGCAAGGCGAGGCGTGTGATCTTTGCTGGGTCAGCGCCTCAGAGGCCCCAGGGCACACCCGGCGGGGCTGGCATGGACAGAAATGCCTCTCACCTCTCCATAGGCCTCATGTTTCTGCAGAAAAGACAGAGAGAAACCCTGGTTAGCCACGAGCTGGCGATCGGGCAGCTCCGCATCCAGCAGAGAACGCGGGACATCGGAGCAGGCAGGGCCCTGACCAGAGCTCACCCCCTTCACTCACCAAGGGGGTCGCTGATGCCCAGTGACCAGGTCCCAGGGCTCTGCACCTCACTCCCCACCCCACACCCAGTGGGTGGACCGTGGCCCTGGGAGGAGGGGGCGCTGCAGTCGCTCACCATGACCTTGATGATGCGGTTGATGGTGTCCTGGTCGATCTCGGCGGAGTCGGGCAGCATGGTGGCGTAGTTGCTGCGGTAGAGCTCCTGGGGCGTGCTGGCGATTTCCCGCAGGCCCTGCTCGTTCAGGTTCTTGTTGGGGGCCACGGCGAAGAGCCGGATGCCCTCCTCGCGGGCCCGCTCAGCCTGCATCTTGATGCCACCGCAGGGGCTGCCGGTGACGTGGCCGTCGGTGATGACCACCGCGAAGTTGACCGCGCCGTTGCTCCTGTGCTGCCGGATCTCCCGGGTCATGTTAGCCAGCGCGCAGTCGGTGAACGTGCCACGGCGGAAGGAGCGGATGCTCTGCAGGCCCTTGGTGAAGGAGGCCCTGTCGCTGCCCGGCGGGCTGAACACCTCCACCTGGTCGGAGAAGTGCAGGCCGCCGTAGCGCCAGCTCAGGGCCACCTGGCCGAGGTACAGCTCGTCCTGCAGTTGGCTGATGAACTGCGGCACGAACTGCTGCATGTGGTAGAGCAGGCTGTCGGTGGGGGACTGCATGGTGACGCTCTCCGAGGTGTCCAGCACAAAGTACACGTTGACCGGGCAGTCGGCTTTCTCTGGGGGACACAGGAGGAGTCAGGGGGCTGCACACGGAGGGCCTGCGGTGAGCCATCCTGGGGCTCTGTGCACACGGGTGGTCCTGGGCTCTGCCCCCCGCCGGCCTCACCGGCACGCTGGGCCCCGGCTCCCCACCGGCCGTCCCTGCTGCCCGCTTTGGTCACCCGGGAGCCCCGGCCCCTGCGGCTGTACCTGGGCAGCTGCCTCTCTCCGATGTGTCGGGTGCGATGACCTCCTGCTGCTGGGCGCGCAGGGTCCCCAGGAGGCCCCAGAGCAGGAGGACGGAGCGGGAGCCTCGGAGCATCTTGGCAGCACCCGTGGGTGGTCCCTGACGTCCTGCAACAGGGAAGAGCGGCCGCTGCAGACAGAGGCCCGTGCATGGGTCTGGGAGCCCCTCCTGGTCCCGACGGTGGGGGTGGCACACACCGAGGGTCAGCCAGCACCTGGGCTAAGGGGCCCTGGATGGGCCACAAGCATTGAGTGGGCACAGAGACCGCGAGGTTTGGGCTCTGTTCGGGGTGCGATTAGCACGTTCGCCGCTGTCCCTGCCCTGGAGCCTCCATCGGAAGACAGCCCGATTCTTGGGAACTGAAAGCATCGTGAGGACCCTGGGGAGGGTGCTGGGGGCAGGGCAGAGGGGTCAGCTGGGGGTGGCCGGGAGGAAGGGCAGCAGGGGAGGGGTGACTGAGGTCCAGGCTGGGGTGGGGACGGGCCTTGGTACTTGATTCCTATTTGTCCAAATGACCCCACACTGACTGGTTAGGGCAGTGATGGCGAACCTATGACACGCGTGTCAGAGGTGACACGCGAACTCATTTTTTTTGGTTGATTTTTCTTTGTTAAATGGCATTTAAATATATAAAATAAATATCAAAAATATAAGTCTTTGTTTTACTATGGTTGCAAATATCAAAAAATTTCTATCTGTGACACGGCACCAGAGTTAAGTTAGGGTTTTTCAAAATGCTGACACGCCGAGCTCAAAAGGTTCGCCATCACTGGGTTAGGGAGAAAGGCCTGGGGGTGGGATAGAGGGGCTGGCAGGCAGTGGGTGCCCGGGACTGGGGACCTCCCCAGAGCCAATGGCTGTGCCCCGGCAGGTGTTCACGGATCTGTTTCCCCGTCGCTTGCTGCTCCCTGTGCCCGGGCCCATCCTGCGGCCACACAGGCAGGGAGAGGCCCTGGAGGCTGGGCGGGCTGGCTGGGCGTAGGGACCAGATGTGAGAGGAATGAGAACGCTCTGTGGGGAGGTGGGGAAGGGGCTCGGCTCAGATGTTCTGGTGGAGACCCCTGCAACCTGGTTCACATCCCACCCCCCTCCCCCAAGCTGCCTCTCAAAGCCCCCAGACCGCAGGCAGGCCCAAAGAAGATGTGGCCTTGCCAGGAACTCGGGGTCCTGCTGGGGGGCAGCACTAGCTGGCTGGGCCCTCGTAGGGCTGGGGTGTGAGGCGGTGCCTGGAGAGCTTTGGGGGAGACAGGCATCAGGGCACTTTAGCGCAGTTAGGGGCATCACTGCTGCGGGAACCTCTTATGTTTGAGAGGAGGTGGATGGGGGAGGGGGGCAGGTGTTACTACACCTGGGTTTACGGTGAGAGGGGCTAGTCCTGGCATAGTTAGGGGTGAACAGGACATGACCCTGCCTCCCTGACATGGGGACATGGTTAGGACAAGAGACCGTGACCCTGCAAGTAATGGCTGTGACCCAGTATGTAGGCTTTGACAGTTGCCGAGATCAAAGCAAGCTCAGTGGAAGCACCAGGGAATCCAGGAGGGCTTCCTGCAGGAGGTGACAGATGTGCCAGACAGAAAGCCAGCCACAGGAAGGGAGCTCCGGCCCACGCAGAGGCTGGTTCAAGAGGAGGGCGGAGACAACACGGTGAGATGGGGCTGAGAAGGTAGCGTGAGTGGCAGGCCAGGGCCCTGAAGAACCTGGAAGCCACAGGGAGTTGGGCTGGGACAGTCAGAGCCAACGGGTCCAGAGACATCAACCACTGGTAATGGCCACTATGGGACCTTAGTCAGGGAGGCCACTCACAGCTGAACACCGGATGTGGGCCCAGCTCTGTCCTCCACCACCCTTCACCCTGCTGCCCCCATCGGGGAGAGACCCAGTAGGAGTGCCGTGATCCATCTACTACAGGTGGGGGAGGAGAGAACCTAGGGGCCAGAAAGATGGCACCCGGATTGGCCCTGCTCCCCTCGCCCCCAACACAACACACACACACACACACACACACACACACACACACACACACACACCCCACATACACATCACACACTTAATAAATTAAAAGAGGCCCACATAATAAAGTGTACTCGTAGAAAATCTTACTCTTTGCTCTAACTCAAAGAAAGAAATTTTCATTACAATAAAATTGTAAGGAAAACTTTCAAAAATATTTACATAGGGAAGAACACAATAGCAATGACAAAATACAGGAAACACCTAAAGGGAAAAATAATTTTGTCTCTGTGGGAGACAGCTTCCACGGTGGCCCCAATTATTCTTGCCTCCTGGTATCCATGTCCTTACCAAGTCCTCCCACACACTGAATCATCGCCGGCCTGTATGACCGACAGAATAACCTGGAAGAGATGGTGTGTGACATCCAACACTAGGTCATCGAAGATCCTGTGGCTTTTGCCCGGTTCTCTTGGATCGCTGGCTAAAGGGGGAGCCAGCTGAACGGGAACCCTCTCAAGCAGCCTTCGCAGAAGCCCCGAGGGAGGAACGGAGGCTTCCAGCCAACAGCCGGGGAAGTGAGCGGTCTTAGAAGCAGGTCCTTATTTCAGTCAAGACTTCAGATGACCTCATCCCTGGCCAACTGCACCTCATCAGGGCTCCCGAGCTAGACTCACCCGGCCAAGCCACTCCTAAATTCATAAGCTGAATAAATTACAGGATAGTAAATGCGTATTGTGTTAAATCCCTAAGTTTTGAGGTAACTTATTATGTGGCAATAGATAACTAATAGAGGCATCAAACTTTTCTCCACTGCATTGCAGACAGAAGACAATGAAATGATAACCTCAAAATTTTGAGAAAAATGCAATGAACCGACAATGTCTTCCCAGTCAACTTATCTCTCATGCACAAGAATGAAAGTCTCAGGGGAAAACGGGCTCAGATCTATGACACCTATATACCATTGCTTAAAAAATTCTGCAAGGAATTTCCGTAGATAACAGAGAAATAAATAAAAAAAAGAGCAAAGAAACTTGAGAAATACCATCAAATGTAGAAAATGAAGGGTAAAAGAGTCAGGAAGCATAACATTACATGCCAGAAATATTACATAGATTAGTTGGACAATAAATATGAATGGTTTAAACTCTCCTGTTAAAGATAAACATTCCTAAGTTGGGTCAAAAAATGAAACCTATCCCAATGAGGTTAAGAAAGTCACACTTTAAACATGTCAGATGGTGCAAAGACGTGGGGAGAGGTGGATGCCAATAAAAAGAGAGGGGCAGTGTTGTGTTTGAGACTAGGTAGAATTTAAGACGGAAGAATGAAGGATGGGGCCAAGGAACAGAAAAAGGCTGCAGACTAGTTATAAATCTTTATTTACTAAATTTCATAAAATAAAATTGTATAAAGGAAAATCTGAAAATTTGAATAAAAAACAAACAAGCTGAAATCATGGTAGAAGATTGATTCATCTTTTTAAGTCATTGACAGATCACATAAACAAAAAATAGAGAATCTGAATTCATGTTTTATAAAACTTTGATAGTAATAAATATGGCATATACATATATTTTAAACATAAAGGATTTAGATAATAATAAAACACATACATATTATATATTTATGTCTTTGAAACCTATAAGAAGGGAATACATATTCTTTAAAAATTTTTATAAAATTTGATCCTAGAGTATGCCACAAAGAAAGCTTAAATTTAGTTTTTTTTAAAAAATGGAAATTATATGGACAAATTCTCTGAGTTACAATGTAAAACCAGTCACTATTAAGGCACAGAAAAAAATCAAAGCACCTGGAAATTAAAAAACTCTCTCTTGTAAAAACTACACAGAAATTTGTGACAATGAGAACGTTACATATGAAAACAATCATGAGAAGGCCAAAGCTCTAATCAAAGGAAAATATATAGCTTTAGATACTTTATGTTATTAAATATGAATTTAGTGACAAGTTAGGAATACAGTTGAAGTAACTAGGGACAAAGAAAATTAACCATCTTAGGAAAGAGACGGGGGGGGGGGGAGCAATTGATTAAAAGAGAGTAAAATAAATATATCTCAGAGTTGATTCTTTTAAAAGACCAACAAAATAGGAATTTTTTTAGCAAGACTAATCATAAGTACAAATGAAGAAATATATAAATTTAAGAATAAATAAAATAATACGATATATGAGGACAGTTTTAGTGGCTGTTTGTTTTCAAGAGCACATACCACATGCAGCTCTAGGCTAATAAATGTGAAAGCCCATTTTCTGGAAGGATCTCTTACTCTTTGAGATAGTATGGAGGGACCTGGAGGGTACGATGCTATGTGAAATAAGCCAGTCAGAAAAAGACAAGTATCACATAATCTCACTTATATGTGGAATCTAATAAAGAAAAAAACTGATGAACAAAACAGATCCAGAGACATTGAAACATGCAACAGACTGATGTATTTTAGAAGCAGGGAGGGAAGGGAAGAGATTAAACAAAAAACTTATATGCATAGCCCATGGACAAACAATAGAGCAGGAAAGGCCTGGGGAGAGGGTGGGAGCAGGGTAGAGACGGTCAACTTGAAAAAAAACAGGGACATTTGTAATGTTTTAAAAAATAAAGTTAAAAAAAGAATATCAGTTATTTCTAACTAAATTTAAAATTGGATGAAAAATTTGATTAAAATCTTCAAGAAAAGTAATGTTTTAAAAAATAAAGTTAAAAAAAGAATATCAGTTATTTCTAACTAAATTTAAAATTGAATGAAAAATTTGATTAAAATCTTCAAGAAAAGTTTTTGCTTTTTTGTTGATATATGTAGACAAAAATATATCTAAGATTCACCTGGAAGCATAAGTAAAAGTAGCTCAGAAACATAAAAAATAAAGGGTGATGAGAAAACATGTTATCAAGTACAAATGATACAATAAAATTACAGTAATTAAGCATTTGTGGTTTTGGTGCTGGAATGGAGCAACAGACCACACAGCAATGGGCATAGCAACGTACACAAATAGAGAAAAGGAGGTGGTGGCAGGGCTGGGACAAGGGTTCACGCTGTGAGTAGAAATAAAGGTAATCCTATCTCACACAGGGAACCCAAATAAATCTCTGGAGAAGTAACTGAGTGCAAAACATGGACCAAAG